CCAAGTGTCAGTGCAGAGCTGGAGAAAAGGGAACCCTTGTACACTGTTGGTAGGAATGTAAATTGGTACAGTTGCTATGAGAAATAGTATGGAGGTTCCTCAAAAATTAAAAATAAAACTACCATATGAACCAGCAATCTCACTTCTGGGTATATATCCAAAAAAATTGAAATCGTGACCTTGAAGAGACATCTGCACTCACATATTCGTGCAGCATTATTCACAATAGTCAAGCTGTGGAAGCAACCCAATGTCCGACAGACAGATGAAGAAAATGTGGCATATACACACAAAAGAACATTATTCAGTCTTTAAACAGAATGGTATTACAGTATTCTGCTTAGATCAGATCCATTAACAGGCTATTGGTCAAAGCAAGGGGACTTGGCCAAGCTCAAACTCAAAGGCCATCCATCAAGAAACTATGGCAAAAGCATGGGCACAGAGGGAAAGAACTGACAATGATGTAACCTGCAACAGGCTGTATGACCTCCTCTATCTGTCTGACCTCCTCTGTCCTGTTATGCAGACCAGCTTCTTCCTCTGTTCCTCTTACACATACTCTCTAGAATGCAAGTTCCATTTGGCAAGATTTTTGCCTTCGTCTAATACAGTATTTACAGTGTGCAGTTTTGTTCACTGATGTCTTTCTAGTGTTTAGAACAATGCCTGGTACATAGTAGACAATAAACATGACTGGCCACCCCCAAATACGATCCTTAGTCTTGCAAGTTACGTGATCTTTAAAGTCCAATGCTCCTGGATTACTTGCTCAGTTTGGATCAGAATCAATCCCTTGTTCAACTATACACTGTAACCAGAGGAAGAAGGTACTGGGTAGGTCAGGGACAATTCTGAGAGAAAGGGGAAAGGATACAAAGATATCCAGGTGTCTAGTCCCCATGATACATAAGACCCTTCAGGATCTGATCCATGTCTACCTACAGAATGTAAGAACAGTATAGTTATTAAAAGGGCATGCTATAGGGCCATGCAGGACTGAATTCAAACCCTGTGCCAGCTACTTACTGTGTATGCAACTTTGGCCAAGTTACTTAACCATTCTGAATCTTCATTTCCCTGTCTGTAAAATGGTAACAATTACCTTATGACACTACTGCACAATTAAATAAGATAATATATATTAAGATCTTTACAGAGTTCCTGGCACACAGTAAACCCTCAATAAATGGTGGTCATTTCTACCTGGCACGTAAGTCTGGTGTTTACTACACCATTCTGTATCCTTAGATAAATTTTATACCACATTCATCTTAATTTCAACTTTAGTTGATTGAAATTTTATACCACATTCATCTTAATTTCAACTTCAGTTGATTTAGTTGATTGTAGTTTAGTTAGGGGTACACACTTAGCCCAATGTAGCCAGTCAACAGGCTGGTCAGTGACCCACACTGCCTGGTGAACAGGTATTCCCTCTTCCAGGTCTGATTTCAGAGCAGCATGGCCCTTTCCCAGAATTCTGTTCCCTGCCAAGGCCCTGAGGCATGGAAAATTAGGAGTAAAATGAGAATAACCTACTCCATGATGCTGCCAAATTATGTAAGTCTTGTGGGCATGGGCTTCCAGGGGAAAGGCAGCTGTCAGAGACAGGCAGTCACATGTGTCCAGTAATCATAGTGGAAGGAGTAGCCTAATAGTCCAAGCTATTTGGTTTGGAAAGCTAACTTGGAATCCACGGAGGCTCTTTAGCTTTTATATAACAGATGTTCTGTGAGTTGTACAGAATTGGATTTAAGCAAATTTGACTTTATGCATATTAATCTAAGCTACATATTTTTACCAGTGCAGACTTTGCATTCCCCACAGAGGTACAGAGACAGTCAGGCTGAGGAACACAAGCCATGCGGTGCAAGTGGAAGGCTGGAAGCATCTATCATGAGGTGTCCTTGGTTGCTGCTTTAGGTCTGGCCTGACCCTTAGGACTCCACTGGCCCAGGCTCTTGGAAGTTTGGCTAGCCCAAGAAATAAACACTGGGTGTAGGTGATCTCTAATAATCTCTCTGAAACTCTTATGATTCTGCTTCTCCCCTTTAGTCTACTCTACCCATAAAACACACCACTAAAGATCACCAGTAAGAACTTTTGTTGGTAAAAGTACCCCACTAGGGTGCTACCTGGTTAGTAGTCACCAACATTCCTCATAACAAAAGTCTCCTTGTCAAGTCAGCTAAAACACTGCAGTCAATACAGTAACTTTTATGCAATTGGTTATATACTAATGATAATCTTTTCTATCATGTATTTGTGTTGGTTTCAACTATACTAAATTCCATAGTATTTAATGCTAATACAGCAGTCTGAATTTTACTTAGACATAAAAAAGAATAAGCATCATTCATAATTAAATTCAGGCTTCGAATTGTGTATATTTACCTGCTTTTGAAAAATAGTAACAGGAAATCTCAAAGATATACACAAATAGAGAGAACAGTGGAACAAATCCCCATGTGATCATCATCCAGCTGCAGTGATCCCAATTCAAGGCCAATCCTGTTTCATCTACTCCCTTAACTCACTTCTTTGCTCTCACCCCAGACTATTTCGAAGCAAATTCAAAATATCATGCCAATTCACTATAAATACATGACTTTTTAATAATGGTGCTTGTATTAGATCTCACACTGACAATAAAAAAAATATTAGTATGTACTAATTCAAGAGGTGTGTTGTAGGGGACCAGTTTGTTTTGGTCTGGCAAATGTGACTCAGCCCTGTATGGAAAACCTACAGAAGCGATGTGGTGGGCAGGAGCCAGACCTTCAAACTGAGTTTTCCCGTGGGAATCAGGCCTAGAAAATGCATACAGACTGTTACAGCTTGCTCTTGCTAAAACTCCCTCACCCTAGTCTAAGACAGTAATGTATATTGTCTATCTTCAAGGTAATTTCCAAAGCCTATGTGAATTTTCCCAAGGACAGAGCTAATTAGCTCATTGCCATTCCCTTCTGCATGTTATTTTCATTTCCTTGATTGTACCTAAAATATAGACAATAATATTCTATATAATAGATAATAAATCCTTCTTTGATGTTGAAGACCCAAGAAAAACAATAAAAGCCTGTCTAGGCAAGGGTCAGGGTGCTCTCCCCTTGACAGAGGGGCTGTGCCATCCCCCTTTTCTCCACAGGATTGCTGTAGCCTGTGCATTTGTTCTCGTCTTCGGTCACAACAGGCAGACTATGCTGGCTGGGGTCTGCCACAGTGTGTTCACCTATTTTCTCTGTTAAAACTTATGCCAAGAGCAGAGATTAGAGTTGCAAAATGGCAGAACAGAATGTATGCTCAAGTAGAGTACACAGTTCAGTTCTCAATTAATATGGTCCTATTTCTTTAAAAATAGTTTACTGACGAGCTTTTTAAAATAATAGTTAAAACAGGCAAGATAATTATAACCTCAATATTTCTATTTTCCAGTTTACTCAAATTCAGTTAACTCTCAGACACAGCATCATTATAGCCCAGTCTGGCAGAATGCAAAATGGTTCAACCACCTAAGATTTTGTGAACCTTAAATAGAGGTTGCATCTTAATGTATATGGTTGGTTTCTGCATGCACTTCATCAAAAAAAGTACATAAGCTGAGAGATGGCATTTAAACTATGTTCCACTTATATGCCAAACTCATTCAGGGTAATTAATTCTAAGCCAAAGCAATGGAAAATGTTAAAGATGGAGTGGAAAAGTCTTTTGATCAGAAAGCTGGATCAGCCAAGAAAACAGCTGAGCTATAGCCTATTAACTTCAGGAGATAAAATATCTTAAAAAAAAAAAAAAAGAGCAAAGGAAACCATGTCTTCTGTATTATCTCAAATGATACAGATAGTTCAAATTTAACTAGAAATAGAATGACATTTAACATGCTAACTCATGTTCCTTGTATAATTTCTCCCCTCCTCTGCAAAGAGTATAAGGTAAAAAATGAGTTTCAATTTCACTTGTACATAAGATTCTAAATTTCATATTTATACTTCTAGAGAAAGCACCACTTCAAAATATCACTGTACTGATGCAAGCGCTAAAGTGTTTTTGGTGAATTGAGATTGTATAGCATTAAAAAAGTTTTCACATCACTGGTGTTTTTTTTTAAACAATTTATTATAATTTATAACTTAGGAAGTTTTCAAACATTATCAAAGCATTATGAAATTATGTAGCATCTCATAATGTTACAGTAACAAGAAATAACAAGTAAATAGGGCAGTTTCAAGGCAGAAAAGGGAAGCTAAAAATAACTTGACATTCCTAGCCTTCCCATAAAGCATCCTTTTTGCCTGTAACTTACCCATTTTGAATGGCACTTTTTCCCTCAGAAACCCAAGGTCTTTTAAAAAAGGTATTCTTGGAACCAGAGACATGGAAATAAAGAACAAACTGACAGTGACCAGAGGGGAGGGGGAAGAGGGATAATGGAGGAAAGAAGAAGGGTCAAGTCAAGGAACAGAATAAAAGACCCATGGACAAGGACAATGGCGACAGGGGAGTCAGGGAGACTGTATGTGGGAGGTGGGTGGGGCAGGGGAGAGCAGTGAGGGAAAATGGGGACTACTGTAATTGAACAACAATAAAAAGTATTTTAAATAAAAAAGGTGCTCTCAGGAAAACAAAATGTGATTAATATGCACTGAGGTAAACATAACTAATAACTTGGAGTATTACTTATAAGGTTATTTGCACCTTAACCTTAAACTTCAAGAGCTAATAATTTAGCACCGCTAGCAGGCAGCAGTGATTTCACCTGTGCCTTTGGAACTTCCTGTTGAAGACAGTCACATAGAGCTTATGGATAAGATCTGAAGACATACAATTACACGGAAAGTAAACCTACCAATTACAGTTTAAACAGTAAGACTTAAATCTTATGGTTTAATTCTTCTAAAAGTGAGATAAAACTGGGGGAGTGAGAAGGACATGAGTGTAATACCAGACAATTATGGTCTTACATAAGCTTTACCTAATACTTCCTATATGTCAACTTCAACTGTCAGTAAAAAAAAAAAAAAAAGTTTATTTCTTGGGAAGAAGAAATTACAATTCAGTTTTTAAGTCTGAACCTTTAAACTTGGGAAGCTTTCTTCTAGGTCACCAGCAAGGGTCTTATCAACTTCATGCAGGATTTTGAGAAAGTCTTCCACCTGTGAGTCAAACAAAACCAAGTAAACATCAGTAGAGGAAAAGGGGATTTAAGATATTGATTATTGACTATAAAATGCTCTACCTGTGGTTTCTAAACAGTCCAGAGGAAACTAAATAATGACATGTCCCCAGATGCCAACAGCATTTCCTGAATAGTCCTCTGAAACATCAAGGAGGAGACTAGCCCTTACCAGGCTGTTTTACTCTTAAACTAGGCTTTATCCTTCCACTGCTTATCCTTCCGGGTCCAGTAATGAAGTTGTATTTCCATCCTCCTTCTTGCAATACTCTCGCGCTCCCACACTCCATACTTCACTTTCCTAAAATAGTTCCTATCCTGAAACTGCCTTTAATGATAGCAAACGTGATATGAATTGAAGAAACAGATAAACCTACTGACTACACCTACCTAAGAATCTTATTTTTGATTAATATATACATTCTGTCTCGTTTACAACAGAAAGGACTACTAAAAAAATCTGTGCTGATTCCTTTCTCCTAAAATCTGAACTATACCTCAGGCTAGTCCCATGAATTACCCAGCAGCCATCTATATGGCAAAGGCACTAAGTCATGTGAACTTCGTGCACTCTTTTGACAATGGCCCTGAAGATCAAGTGTTTATTTTAAAACATTTTATTTAGTAATCCTCTGAGACTCAGCCACCTATATACATTTACTCCTAACTCACCACAGGGCTGTAGAAAGGAAGAAGGTTTTGAAATGCACAGGTACACTTCTGCTTGCTCAACTGGCCCTCCTTTAGTCCCTTAGCCACAGTCTCCTAAAACAAAACAAAAAGGCAAAAGAAAGGAAGATTTCTATATCTGCTGAATAAAGACAAATCCATATACATAATTCCCTACTGATCCTACAGGCATTTCGAATGTCCCAAACTGAACCCGGTATCACTCCTCCCTGTGTAACCCCAGCACGCGCTCCTCGGCAGTCCTCATCTCAGTGAAAGGCACTACCCACCCACCTGCCCAACTGCACAAACCAAAAACCTGGGATACGGCACAGACTTTTCCTCCTCTGCTGCTCACTCCTCCCCCTAAATGTTTAATTCCATTAAATCTCCCATCCTACCCCTCCTCTCCAACCACATTTCCACCGTTAAGGCTCTCATTTTTCATATTATTCTTGAGCATTACAGCCACAAGAGCCTGTTGATTGCTCTCTGGGCCTCCAGTCTCAGCTCTCTCTGATCTCTCTGTTGCTTTTGAGTAATCTTTCCAAATAGATCCTATCACATGATGCTTAAAAAAATCTTTAGTAGCTCCTCAGTTTCCTCCAGATTAAGTCCAAACTCCATTAAGTATGGCATATAAGAATTTTCATGTCACACCCCTGCTTCAGTCTCAGCCCACCTTCCTTCTACATTCCTATCATTTAAAAATTAAGAAACATCTATGTCCCTCCCTCCAAAAACACAAAAGTAAACAATGGGAAAAATATTTGCAATGAATATGCAGAAGATACAGTATTCCCAAGTAATATTTTATCTTTTGCAAGTTCCATGCAAAAAATCAAAATGGATAAATTTATAAAGCATGAAATATAACCAATATATAAATATATGGAAAGATATTCAAACACAGATATTCAAATTCACTAATAATAGAAAAATATCAATCATAATAAGGCCCAATCTAATCACCTCTTGAATTTTACTTGATATAAAATTATAAACCCAAGGATCAAGTACAATCAACATTTCATAGGTTGGGAAACACCATTATGCTCAATCGTCTTCTCGTTTACAATGTCATGCCTAGCAATCTGACTTCTGAAAACCTGTGCTCAAGTAACAGTCCCAGGCTGGGAAAGAGACGCAGAGCAATTCATCAAAAAACAAATCACCAGCATAACAGAAATTTCTTTTAAAAAAATCCTTCTTGAGAGAAATTCAATAAATATGAATATATATTTTTTCTAAAATATATGGACAGAAAGGGTATGCTCAAAGGAAGAATATGCTAATAATCCAGAACATATTCAGAAAGACTATTCCTTAAAATATGGTTACAATCAATTTTAAAAATTTACCATTTTGGACAAATTAGGTATCAAACTCGTTCTTCAGTAAAAAGTCTTTCAGTGAATTAACTGATCTAAAGTCAGGAAAAGTGCTTATAATGTAGTGTTAAATGAAAATTGTATGTACTGGTTTATAAATACATGAAAAATACAAAGATATATAAAAATATAGCATATCACATCAGTTGCTGGTTTAAGACTATAAGCTTATGGTGATATTTTTTTCCTTCTATTTTCCCAAATTTATGTAGTATAGTTATACTACTTTTATATTAAAAAAAATAACAGTAAAAATAAAGTTGGGAGCATTAAACAATGCATACTGTCTTTTGCTAAAGAAATCATTAATACTTCTTTCTTACCTTTGTTAATACCTGGAAAATATTAGAAAGAAATTCACATGAAATATCCTTTAAGATTTTCAAGTGAAAATCATCTTGGCTTAAATCAGACTTTTTAGTTTCTTCTGGGTTAGATTCTGCTGAGTTTTCTGGTTTCTTCTGACAATGCTCCATATTTTGTAAGACACGAATCAGGCTATCAATCAAAGGAAGATCTACTGTACAAACAAATCAAGAGGCATGAGATCAGTCAGTTAAATTTGGTTGTTCATACATTATTCGTTCACTCACTCATTCATACATTTATTCACACTGAACAGCTATTAGTACCGGAGATGATATTTCAGGTACTGCAGTTATAGTGGGAAACAAGATCATCAGGGCCTCAGCCCTCAAGAGACTTACATTTTTATATTCTCAAATAAGCAAATGAATAAAGCAGGTCATTTCAGATTTTGGCAAGTTCTATGAAGAAAATTTAAGGGGCTAAAACAAAGCAGCTGGCAGGGGAGGCTCTCAAAAGAGGTAACACTGAGTAGAGAACTAAAAGATAAGAAGAATCAACGCAAAGAGCCCAGAAAAAACATTTCAGGCCAAGGGAACAACAAGTGCGAAAGCACCACAGAGAAATGTCATAGAAGGTCTGAAGAACAAAAAGAAGGCCAGTGTGACTGGAACTGAGTGAGCAAGGAGAGCACAAGGTGAGTTGAGAAAGCTGGGCAAGAATCCCACCATGCAGGGCCCTGGAGGCCATAGTGAGAAAATAATTTGAATTTAAACTTTAACTTTCATAAAACTCTTAAACAAAACTTTTAAAACTTTGTCTTATTAAGGTAAAAAAAGTATAATTTCTTAAAAGCAGACCATCATTTTAATTAGCCTATAATAAAAAATGAACATAAAACTAAATAAAGCCCTGACTCAAAATAGGTTTAGCATGAACATGCTAAAACATATCTCACTCTGAATCAATCATTTTTAACTTTGCCTAATAATTACAAATCTAGGAAAAACATTTGCTATACTACCAAATAAAGTATATTGATTTTCTAAAAAACCCAACTTCATTTCCAAAGTTAGGTCTTTTACATTGTGTGAAAATATCCTTTTTATAAAGCTGGAAACCTGGAAAATTTTATCCTCTTTTTCTCAGCTCAGTGGCACCGCTCCAGAGCAGCCCTCGCCCCCCACCCCCGCCGGGCTGCTTTACTGTACTCCCCTTGGAGTTTCTCCCACTTTCGTACTTGTGTTATCACCAACTACTGACTGTAACATCGCATGATTCCCTACTCCATGATTCACTGCAGGTCACAACAATCTATTCTATACAGCCTCCTCTCTTTCTCACCCTCAGCGGTAACTCTGCAAAGCCCCAGCTCAAGCCTTCAGGCAGGATTAGGAAACGGGTGTCAATCAGTCAAGTCAAAAGAGCATCTTTACACCTTCTCACCCAATTATAAAAAATCATAAAGTTTTGGGGAGTGGGGAGAAGAAAAGAATACTTTGTCCCATAATATCAAGAAAGATGCGTTCCTAGTATTCCAAATAAAAACTCTGTATGAAAAAAAAGAAAACAAAACAAAAACTCTGTATGATTTCCAACAGAAAGTGCATATATATATATATATATATATATATATATATATATATATACACACACACACACACACACAAGGAAGTTAGGACCACTAATGGGTTCAAAGTCAGCATTTCCACTCTGTTTGTTTCACAAATCACCACAAAGAAACAAAGAGAACAAGCGACAAAACCCAAAATCCAGCTTGGAAAAACTAGGAGACAGCTGAAACCTCAAACACAAGGTAGCTGGAGACAGCATAAGATGCAGTGTAAATTGACCAGGGGGCGAGAGAGGAAAGAGAGGAACTTGAGGTGGCTGAGCTGAGAAAGAGCCAGGAAAGTCCACTGCTCAAGAATCCCTTATTTGCAACAGTAGGAACAGGGTACACAGAATGAGCGAGATGACAGCTGGCACTTCCCTGGGGTTCTAGGACGCTGAGGAATAGGGCGTAAATGAGTAATCTCATAGACAAGCTAAATTTGCAGGAAGCAAATGGCAAGAAAAAAGTGGTACTTTACTGTAGCTACCTCTCATCCTGAGAAAAGGAGCTGGAAGACTCACAGACCCAACTCCCGTTAGCCTAGACCAGTGATTTTCAACCGGTGTGTGCAAGAATTTTTAAAACACGCAATATCTGACAATTTAGTCAAGGGCACTGACCTCTTTTGTCTTAGACTGTCAAACTAAAAAATGACAAGAGCCAACACAACAATGACTGACTGGTGTGAATGAAGCAAAATTATACCTATTTTTTTGGTAAGATCAGAAAAAAATATAACATTTTTTGGTGTGCTGCAGAATTTTAGTAGTTTATGTGACCACGAGATGCAAAAGGTTGAAAATCAATGACCTAGAACACAGTGTTAGCCCCTCTCCTACATGAACTTCCTGCAACTCGACTCATTCAAAGATGAGTAAGCAAAAAGAAATGGGCATAAGAGCAACACAAAGATATTAAAGAAAAAAAAAACAGGAAAAACAAATGACAGATGAAGAATACTTATCAAATAATGTTAACATGAAGCTTATGAATATTAAGATACATAGGCCATGATTTTTAAAAAAGCATGTAACTAAGCAAGCACAACACAGGAGCTCGGACTGAGAAATCAAAGACCCCAGGAGAGGAAACTTGAGATGATGGAGCTCAAGGGAGAAGTAAAAAGACATTGAAGCCACCAGAGAAATGAAGGCAAAACTGGCAGCAGCATACAGGAGAACTGGACACTGCTGAGACACAGTGACAGACATGGGGGTAAGAAAGAAAAAAGCACACCAAAAGAGTGAAAATAAAGGTTGTTGTTTTTTTTAAGGAAGATAATGTTCATGGAAGACACAAAAGGAGATCCCACGTATTGTTTATGAGATTATAACCCTCGAAGATGAAACCCAAAATGATGAAACACAACAGACATCCAAAAATATAATTCAGGAACATCCCTCCCTGCCCACACACACTGTCTTAAATTTGTAATTTAAAAGCACTGGGAAAAGTTGAAAAGGAAGAGTTGACACTGAGATATACCTTTTAAAGTCACTAGATTTTAAGAATTTTTAAAAAGAGGGAGTAGTTATAACTATATTTTGGGAGCAGTTATAAAGGTAACCACGAGTCCAAAATACAAACTTTTCAAAATGTTCGAACTACACACAAAGGACTTCCGGTCAAGGTGGCAGCATAGGTAAACACGACTCACCTACTTGCACAACCACACCAAAATCACAGCTGCACTGTAAGCAAACATCACTCTAAACTGCCAGAAATAAGTGGTGGGGGCGAGCGTTCAGTATGGAGGGACGCAAAAGCGGAAAAATTGGGACAACTGTAATAGCATAATCAATAAAATTTTAAAAATAACTACACACACACAAAAATCAGGTACAGAGACATTTAAATGTAACATACATAATGGGAAATATAGCATTCAGATCAAACACACATAAATATCAATACATTTATATGAGTTTAAGTCACCTATGAAAAAGAAATCAACACGCCTAGAACAAAGTATTTAGAAAATCTGAAAAGAAAAAGATAGGCAAAGATAATAGTGACAAATGCAAGCAAAAGGAAAACAAGGGTTTGATCTTTCTATCTGACATAATAGACTTCAAGCTAAAAAAAAAGCATGAAAAAGGACAAAGGGAGGTGATTTATGACAAATGTCTGTATTCCAAATAACATGGCATCCTCATTAAGCGAACTACAAATGATGAAAAGACAAACATATTGGTAGAGACATTAATTTTCCTCTCATTTCATATCAAAATAAGTCAAATGAAATAAACAAGGTTATAGAAGACCTCAGCTCTAAATTCATAAACTGCTTGCTCAACACCTCCACTTGAATACTTAGAAGACATCTCAAACTTACAGCAGTTAAAAGAAATCTTTCCTATCTCAGTAAATAGCAACTCCTTTGGACAACAATGCCAGGTATATTGTGAATTTTCTCACCCTCCTGTCCTGTCAGCAAATCCTGCCAGCACTGCCTCACAATGATCAGAATCTATTTTTTCCCACCAACTCCACTGTTACCACTTTAATCCAGGTTACATCATCCGTTGCTTCAAGTTCACAGCAAACTCCTAACTAGTTTCCCTTTTGTACACTTGTACCTCTACATTTCTTACCAACATGGCAGCCAGAGGAAGCCTATTAAAGTCAGTTCATGTCTATCCATCCTCTGCTTAAAAACCTTCACAGCTCCCTATCTCATTCAGAGTAAAAGGCAGAATCAGGCTCTCAACACTGTTACCTCTCTGGCTCCATGTACTATTTCTCTTTCCCATGCCAACAGCACCCCATCCGTACAGAGCCTCACTGCTCTTCCTCAAACACAGAAGGCATAATTCTAGTTCAGGGCTTTAGCACCTGCTGTGCCTTCTGTGTGGAAAGCTTCTGTCCCCAAGTGTTCACATGACTTACCTCATTATTTCCCTTAGATCTGTACTCAATGTCACCTTCTCAATGAGTTAACTTACCCCAAAAACCAGAAAAGACACTTGAAAATATTCAATGTTTTTTTTATTAAAAACTCTTAATAAAATAGTAATAGATTAGTATCTTTTTTATTAAAAACTTTTAATAAAATAGTAATAGATTAGTATCTTCTTAGGTGATAAAACATAAATAGCTTAAGCCCAAAAGAGTATCACGATTAATGGTGAAACTCTACAATCATTCTCACTCAATAAAGTCAGGAACAAGGTATGTTTTCCACCACCATTATTACTTACAAGGAAACCCATTAGATAAGAGAAAGAAATCAGAGATAGAAAAGAGATAAAACCTATCTAACTTAAGCCCAAAGCAGTATCAGATAAAGCCCATTATTACCACTGGAACAACTATTAAAAACAGTATGAGAATTTAGTAAGGCTACTGGATGTAAAATTAATATAAAGAAATCAATAGCCTTCATATATTACAACAACAATAATCGACGGAAGAAAAGGTATCACACACAATAGCAATCAAAAAGATAAAATATCTAGGAGTAAACCTAATAAGGAATATGCAAGATCTGTATGAACAAGATCATAAAACATCACTGAGACATAAAATAAGGTGAACTAATGGAAAAGCAAATATTCTTGGACACTCCATAAATTTAACATGGTCCCAATAAAAATGTCAGGAAGATTTTTGGGTTTTATTTTTGAAAAGTCTCAATCTAATTCAGTATCAAACAAAAGTAATAATAAAAAAAAATTCTAAAACAGTAGAGTGAAGGGGGACCAGTCCTATTAGGTCTCAAAACATAAAGCTTTAATCACGAAAACACTATAGGTACTGATACATAGCTAGAGCAATGGAACTGAATAAAATATAGAAAGTTACTTAAAACAGTGACCACATTTCAAATCAATGTAGGTAAACTGTTTTTTCCACTAAAAGATGTTGAAATAACTGACTTCTCACCTGGAAAAAAGCTGAAACTGTGGATCATGACTTAACTGTAGTCATAAAAATCATTCTGTGAAAGACCATTTGTTTACACAGAAAAATATTCATTTTATACTTCTAAATGAAAAACTGTTGCCTAAAAAGCAGGACTTAAACCTAAATATGCATGTGAGTGCATAACAATTACCTCTAGATGTAAGAATACAAGCACTATTTTTTTTATAAATTTATAAAAAAATTTTATTGAGAATATTAATATTTTTGTAATCAAGAGAACAAAAGCCCTAAAATAAAAAATAGGAGAAAGAGGACTTCCGGCAAGATAGAGACATAGGTGGACGCACCGCACTTCCACGCACAACCAAGATTAGAACAACAACAATTTAGAGGCAGAATAACACCCAGAACTGACAAGGAATTTAACTGAATGGAAGTCAGACAGCCAAGAAGTTGAAGTAGACCCGTTCATCCAGACCGGTAGGAGGGGCGGAGAGGAGCAGCCGGGCACGGGGCGTGGCGCCCAGAGAACAGGGAGAACTGGGCGCATAAGGCAACCAGGAGCGAATAAGATATCCGAGGCGCACAAGATCGTAGCGGGTGGACCCTGAGTACGCAAGCGGCAGCTGGCAGACCCAGTGAGGCGGCGATTGTGGACCAGGGCAGAGCGCGCAACCCAGGATCCCAGAGAAGGGACTGAGATCCCAGGAGAACAGAGCTACTGCCATTGTTCCCTCCCGCCCCCCACCCCCCATGCCCATGCCCACCCCCCCACCCCCCACCCCCCACCCCCCCACATACAACATCACAATCTAGCGACTGGGGTGCCCAGCCCCAGTGAACACCTAAGGCTCTGCCCCTCACTGTAAGAAGAGCAACCAGACCAAAAAAAAAAAGAGAGAGAGAGAGAGAGAGAGACATGTCTCAAACAGAAGAACAGATCAATGCCCTAGGACTCATCCTTTTGAGCGACCAAGAGATAGCCAATCTATCAGATGCACAGTTTAAAACACTAGGGATCAGGAAGCTCACAGAATTGGTTGATTTTGGGTGCAAGTTCAATGAAAAAAAATGCAGGTTACCATAAAAAAGATGAAGGAAGATACACGGAGAATCAATAGGGATGGGAAAGAAACTGGGACTCAAAACAATACAGTGGACCAGAAGGAAGAAAAAAACAACCAAACAGGAAAGAATGGAGAAATAAGAATTCAAAAAAATGAGGAGAAGCTTAGGAACCTCCAGGACATCTTTCAACATTCCAACATCCGAATTACAGGGGTACCAGAAGGGGAAGAGGAAAAGCAACAGATTGAACACGTATTTGAACAAATAATAAAGGAGAACCTCCCCATTCTGGCAAAGGAAATAGACTTCCAGGAAGTCCAGGAAGCTCAGAGAGCCCCAAAGAAGTTGGACCCAAGAAGAAACACACCAAGGCACATCATAATTACATTAGCCAAGGTAAAAATGAAGGAGAGAATCCTAGAAGCAACAAGAGATAAGGGAGACAGTAACCTACAAAGGAGTTCCCATCAGACTGTCAGCTGATTTCTCAAAAGAGACCTTACAGGCAAGAAGGGGGATGGAAAGAAGTATTCCAAGTCATGAAAGACAAGGACCTATATCCCAGATTACTCTATCCAGCAAAGCTTTCATTTAGAATGGAAGGGCAGATAAAGTGCTTCTCAGACAAGGTCAAGTTAAAGGAGTTCATCATCACCAAGCCCTTATTTTATGAAATGTTAAAGGGACTTATCTAAGAAAAAGAAGATAAAGAAAAAACATGAATAGTAAAAGGACAGCAAACTCACAATTATTAACAACCACACCTAAAGCAAAACCAAAAGAAACTAAGCAAACAACTAGAACAGGAACAGAACCACAGAAATGGAGATCACGTGGAGGGTTAGCAACAGGGGAGTGGGAGGAGGAGAGAGGGGGAAAAGGTACAGAGAGTAAGTAGCATAGATTGCAGGTTGAAAATAGATAGGGGGAGGGTAAGAATAGTATGGGAAATGTGGAAGCTAAAGAACTTATGACACGTGGACATGACTAAAGGGGGGTATATGGGTGGGAGAGGGTGTACAGGGTGGAGGGAAGTGAAGGTGGGAAAATGGGACAACTGTAATAGCATAATCAATAAAATATATTTTAAAAAATAAAATAAATAAAATCTTTCTTTAAAAAAAAAATAGAAGAAACCAAATGAGCAACACACACCTGGGCTTTAAAATCTGAGAGACTAGAATTTAACTTAGTGAACACTAAATCATACTTGCCGCTTTCTATCTTTAGATACTCCAGTTCAACCTGCAGAGCATAGATGGCAGACAATACTGAAAACACGGAGGCGAGCACTGTCTTCTGCTCTTGAAGTATGATGGGTGGATCGTCAGACTGGCAGAATTCATGGCAGACCAAGTCAAAAAGTAAATTCCAAGTGTCTTTTCCAGTACTGGGACACTGCACTTAATAAAAATGATAAAGTAGTACTTAAAAAAAAAAATCAAACAATTGAATGAGTAAATAGAGTGCTTCCCCATATAGCATCTTACCAATTGCTTGAATTCCATCATCCACTGTGGTAAGTAGCTGTAAGATATGCATGTAAACATCGAGTCCTTCCAGATTTTCAGAACTAAATACAAAAAATGAAAGCAGGGAATCAAGTACTTTACTGTCATAGGATTGCAATCATGCATTCAGTCAACAAATACTCATCACTCTATACTAGTTGCTGCCCGAGGTGTTGAGGATAAAACAGGGAATAGGACAAAGTCTCTGTGCTCACCGGAACTTACATTCTAATGAGGAAATCAGTCAAAAAAAATTCTGTAATATAATAAACACTCTTTTTCGCCTTTTCCCATGAAAGCAACAACGCAAAAAACTATGACGTAACACTTTATCATTCTGGTTTACTTGAATAATCAGGACAAAAAAAAATGACTGAGACTTTTACAGAATGAACGTAAGGTCCACTGTACTAAGCACTGACAACACCGAGGTTCTTAAAACTTCACAGGATCATCCCAGCACCCTAGCTCAGAATACTAAAACCATGTTAAGTATAATTTTTGTGATCAACAGTTTGAACTCCTAGAAACTCACAATCTTACTTGTTCAACTAAATGATTATGTGAAAAGATAGTAAACAATTAAAAGATGGTTCCACAAATATTTAAGTACCTCCTGTTTTCAGGTATTATGTTAGGGGCTGAAAAAACAGATACATTAAGACATTGTTCCTACCTTCAAGAGGTTTATAGTCTAAAAGGAAAGAAGAGAATTAAAGGGGTAATAACAAAGTCATACAAGTGTAATGCTAGAGGAAGTCCAAGGTGTTAGAGGACGATCTAGCACACAGACTTACTTTAGTTCGGAGTGTCAGGAAAGGTATCTTAAGAGAAATGCTGTTTACGCAGAAACGTGAAGGGGCAAAGAAATGTTTGAGGTAGTATGCAAAGGCTTGGAGTTAAGACAGCTTGGTTCAGTTGAAGAAATGAAGGAAATTTCATATGGTTGAAACACAGTACAGAGTCAGCATAAAGCGGCACGGTGCAGGATCTTATAAGCCATGTTTTTAAAAAAATCTGAACCGCATCCTAAGAAAGGCAACTGAAGAGTTACAGTCATGAAAGTGATATGGTCATGGTGTCTTCTAGAGTCTAGGCTTGGAAGGAGCAAGCCTCCTAGCAGGGAATGCAGATAAGAGAAGGCTGCAGTTGTCCAGGTGAGAGGCAGCAGGTGGAAGGTGACATGGATGGAATCCCAGAAAAAGTCAGAGAAGAGCCTTGGAGGCTGACTGGCCATGGGAAAAGAGTGGAATGAGGAAGAGTCAGCAATAGTGTTCACATTTCTTCCCTGTTGTCCAAAAAGGATAATGACTATATCATTTACTGAGATTGAGAATACTGAAAGTTTGGAGAAAACATGATGAATTTAATCCTCACTTATATAAAGGACATAAAATTAATAGGCTTTAGCCCTGGCTGGTGTGGCTCAGTGGATTGAGCACCAGCCTAAAGGGTCGCCAGTTCAATTCCCTCTCAGGGCACATGCCTGGGTTGCAGGCCAGGTCCCCAGAGGGGGCGTGTGAAAGGCAACCACACACTGATGTCGTTCTCCATCTTTTTCTCCCTCCCTTCACCTCTCTCTAAAAATAAAAAAAAATAAGATAAAATAAAAATTAATAGGCTTTAATGTGGGTTAAAGCACTGAGAATGTACAATTGACCATCAAACAGATCAATTCATAAATTAATTTTCTAGTCACTAGCAATAAGGTTTTAATAACCTGCAAGACCAAGTGATCACTCTTGGGGAGAAATCAGAGCCCAAAAGTCAGTCACTTATCTAATAATGGCATATATACACAAGAAACAAGAAAACAAATGTCTGACATTAATCGAAGAAGCTCTTAAACGTCCAATGGAAAATAAAGCACAAGAAAGTCTTATGTATTGATTTGAATTACACAAAATTGTCCAAGGTTTTAAAACACTGATTATAATTAATGCTAACAGTAGCCCACGGCTAAGTCATCTTAGAACAGGTACTTTATCACCATTAACGATTCTTGCACAGACCACACATACTGTCACCACAGATATCAGTAGTGAATCACACCTGACAAAGATCAACTGTGTGTTATTCACCCTGCCAAAAGGAAATTAAGATAACTTTATCTAAGGATACTTCTAGCAACTGGATTTTCACAGAACTTTTGTACAAAATAGCTCACCTACCGTACTTGTTTGGCAGCTTCGAGTACACAGGGCACAATTCTAAACACTTGCTGCTCTTCGGAATCTTCCTGGGGTTGGTCTGGAGGCTGAACAGCCCCATTTCTAATCCACTCCAACATTAGCTTCTCATCCAAATCAAAGAGTTTGTCCACAACTTCACCCACCTTCACCAGCAAGTCAACTGCAGAGAATAAAACAGATATTGAAATGAGAAAACAAAATTTTGAAAGCAGTAATGTTAAGCAAAATTCCTAAAGCTATTCCAAAAAAGCCAATCTTGCCAAAGCACTGCTTATTCCAAAAGCAGTAAGTTTATATCCTTTGCTTGGGAGTTTAAGAAATTTTACATTTTTTTCAATTACAGTTGACATACAATATTATATTAGTTTCAGGTGTACCACATAGTGATTAGACATTTATATATCTTAAGAACTGACCACCCCCATAAATCTAGTACACATCTGACACAACACAATTTTTTATCTCAAATTAAAATACTTTCTTACCTTACACTTAGCCTTTAGGTGACCTCTAGAAATAGTTACCTGGCTTCCTAACAATTAAACATACTCAAACATTTTTTTCTAGATTACATGGTGACTAACCATTTGTTGAACTTGACATGATGAAGCAAATGCTATCATAAATAGCTGGGTGGTCCCGGATTCTTTCAACCCAGATGTTGGCCACTTCTGTTTGGGACAGGCACGTAAGCAACAACCTGCATGATAAATGTGAGCTTGACACCTTATCTTTCAAAAAGAGTAAAGGAAATTCAAGAGCAAAGAATTAAAACTCTGTTTTTACTAGACTCCCTTTCAGGTGAGTTTTTATAAAACCCATAGAAAGAGGAAAACACACCTGCTTGTCTCCAGCAGAGTAGGAGGGTCTGAGTCATACAAACAGTGCAGTAATACCTGGCTAAAAAAAAAAAAAAACAGTTTAACCAATGTGCATCCATTCTTTCATTTTAAATATCAAAGCAGTTTTTATTTGATTTTTTAAACATTTTAAAATAGGACAGTGCTGCATATCCAGAGCCCACGTTCCCCTTCCAAATCACAATTCTTTCCCACCTAGAAATGATGACCACCCTGACTTTCCAGCCACTGTCTCTCTACTTTACTTACTATATAGTTCTATTATTTAATGTATTTTGGTTTTGACCTTTACATGGAGGAAATTATATTGCAAACGGTTTTTTGAGTTGCAGTTCCTTTGCCATGTGTTTAAGATCTACCCATGTTGTTCCTGTAACTGTTCTTTGATTCACTGCTGCAGAACATTCCACTGCACAAATATTACACACTTTACCTTTCCAGTCTACTGTTTTCATTTGTTTTAATTTTTTATCTTTAGAGAGAAGAGAAAGGAGGGAGAAAGAAAGGGCGAGAAACACAAATGTGAGAAATATCTATCAGTTGCCTCTTGCATTGCCCCAACCAAGGACCAAATCCACAACCTAAGCACACACCCTGACCAGGAATGGAACTGGCAACCTTTCACTTTGCAGGACAGCTCACAAGCAACTGAGCCACCCCAGTCAGGGCTCCAGTCCACTACTAATAGAAACTGAGTTGATTCCAATTTGGGGCTCTTTTTTAAGCAATGCTCCCATAATACCCAGACATGTGTGTGTGTGGTCTCTCTTACCATGTACCTGTTAGTGTCACTGCTGGGTCACAATATGCGGCTATCTTCCAACTTGACCTGTTAATGTCCAACTGTTCCAAAGAAGTTGAACAAATTCATATCCCAGCATCAATGTAAACTGTTCCATAATAATTTTAAAATAAGCATTTAATTTTTTTTGGAATTTTTTTTAAATTTTATTTTAATCATTGTTCAAGTATAGTTTTCCCCCACTTACTCCCATTCCTGCCCACTCACCCAACCCTCCCCTCTTCCCCCCATTACCCTCCACCCCTAGTTTTTGTCCATGTGTCCTCCAAATTTGTTCCTGTAAACCCTACCCATTCCCCCCTGAAATTCCCTCTTCTCTCCCCTCTGGTCACTGTCAGTCTGTCCCCTATTTCAGTGTCTTTGGTTATATTTTGCTTGTTTCTTTGTTTTGTTGTTTAGGTTCCTGTTAAAGGTGATATCATGTGGTATTTGTATTTCACTGCCTGGCTTGTTTCAGCTTAGCATAATGCTTTCCAGCTCCATCCATGCTGTTGCAAAGGGATAGGAGCTCCTTCTTTCTTTCTGCTGCATAGAATTCCATTGTGTAAATGTACCATAGTTTTTTTGATCCATTCATTTACTGATGGGCATCTTGGTTGCTTCCAGCACCTAGCTATTGTAAATTGTGCTGCTATGAACATCGGGGTGCAAAGGTTCTTTTGTATTGGTGTTTCAGTGTTCTTAGGATATAGTCCCAGCAGTGGAATTGCAGGGTCAAAAGGCAGATTCATTTTTAGTTTTCTGAGGAAGTTCCATACTGCTTTCCATAGTGGTTGTACCAGTCTGCAGTCCCACCAACAGTGCACTAGGGTCCCCCTTTTCTCCACAACCTCTCCAACACTTGTTGTTTGTTGCTTTGTTTATGATGGCCATTCTGACTGGTGTGAAGTGGTATCTCATTGTGGTTTTAATTTGCATCTCTCTGATAGCTAGCGATATTGAACATCATTTCATGTGTCTTTGGATTTTCTGTATGTCCTCCTTGGAGAAGTGTCTGTTCAAGTCCTTTGCCCATTTTTTAATTGGGTTGCTTGCCTTCTTAGAGTGGAGTCGTGTAAGTTCTTTATACATTTTGGAGATTAAACCCTTGTCTGAGGTATCATTGGCAAATATGTTTTCCCATACAGTTGGTTCTCTTTTTATTTTGATACTGTTTTCTTTAGCTGTGCAGAAGCTTTTTATTTTGATGAGGTCCCATTTGTTTATTCTTTCCTTTATGTCCCTTGCTCTAGGAGACATGTCAGTAAAAAAGTTTCTGAGTGAAATATCTGAGATTTTCCTACCTACGTTCTCTTCTAGGACTTTAATGGTGTCACGATTTATATTTAAGTCTTTTATCCACCTTGAATTTATTTTTGTATAAGGTGTAAGTTGGTGCTCGAGTTTCATTTTTTTTGCACATAGCTGTCCAGTTCTCCCAACACCATTTGTTGAAGAAGCTATTTTTATTCCATTTTATGTTGCTAGCATTTATTGAATTTTTTAAAAGATTTATTTATTTTTAGAGAGAGGGAAGGGGAGGCAGAGAAACACTGATCAGTTGCCTTTCACACACCTCCAGCTGGGGACCTGGCCCGAAACCCAGGCATGTGCTCTGACTGGGAATCAAACCTGAGACTTCCAGTTTGCAGGCTGGTGCTCAGTCCACTGAGCCACACCACCCAGGGCAGCATTTATTGAATTTATAAAACCTATTTACATTATTCATTCCCAGATTTTTCACAGAAACCACTAAGCACCAAACACATTCCTAAGTCATTTACTCCATGAATGTTTATATATTACTGAGGAAAAAACAGGCTATAAAAATCCCTCCACTCCTAGAAGAGATAATCAACTACCTGTCTTATATCACTTGAATCCTATGATAAACCCTACAACCCTCATTGAAAATAACTGCCCAAGACAGTTTTCTTAAATTATCGTGGACACAAATTTGAGATTCTAATTAATAGCCATGAACCCTCTGCCTAGAATATGAATTCACTCACAAAATTTGGCATGTTAAAAAAAAAAAATTAAAAAAAAAAAATTTTGGCATGTAATTCCAGGGTGTTCTAACATCTCTCAAAGTATCCACCAGGGTTTCCACCATTAAAAAATCCTCTGCCCCAAACTCCCCTGCATGGGAAGACAACTAGCAGAAGCACGAAAGCCTTTGAATCACAGAGGCAATCCTGAACCTTCTGGTCTGTTGGCCAGGCCCCCCCTCTGACCTAAGTCACAGTTCCCAGGGTATCCCTAGTCAACGATGCTAGTCTCCAGCTTTTTCTGACTCTAGCTTTCTCAGCCCCTGGACTCCCTGAGCCTAAACTGTTTTGGACTCCGGTCAGGTGCCCCATCTGGAAGCTTTGCCTCACTGGTTCTTATCCTATCTGGCTTACCACCTGCCAATGACTCAGGTCCTTCTGCTGTGGATAAAAATCTTGACTCATGTCCATAAATAGTGTAGAAGCTCCTAGTTAGCATCAACAGTGGAGAGTGTTCATCAGCAGAAAAGAAATACATTTTATAATATTCTTATCTCTCTTATGTATCAGGAGTTCCTTGGAGATATGAAATATCAATCTACTTTTTAAAAATATAATTATTATGTAGTAAAACTTACCCAAGATTTTTATCAGTGCTGATGGACATACATAAATCCTGGAAACAGGCCATATTACCTAATATTCCCACGCAGATTTCCTGTCAAACCAAATTTCACAGGTCACAATAGCTCTCAAGTGAAAGACACATACAATAACATTTGTAGAAAAACGTTCCCTGAGCCTTAGCAGATAGAACAGGAGCAGCAGACATGAGTATACTGCCTGCACCCTAATCTAGACAATGTGAAGGGATGAAAGACATGAGAAAAAGTGAAATCAAAGGCAGGCAGAAGTTATGGAAGAAGAAATCTTATGGATAAACTGAGTCTTAAATGATTGGTAGGGTTTAGACATGCATATACGACAGACATTCAAACAAGGGGCAAAGAATCAGGAAAGGCAAAAAGAGAATAACGTACATGGTTAATCCAGAGGACAGTGAAGAAAGCAGCTGGGCTGTTGCACAAAGTGAGAGAACAGCATGAGATAAACACAGCAAGCAGAAAGGTCAGGATTAAGGGCCCTGAGTGCCATGAAGAGGTTAGATTTAGTTTAGAAGGTTATATGGAGCCATGAAGGTGCTCAAGAAGGGGGACAACACACTGCAATGATATTTTAGGACAATTATTCTGGTAGCAAAATGCATTATTTCATGATAGTTAAAAAAACTTTAAAAGAAGTTAATAATCCCAGTAATAACGGCCAATGTTTATTTAGCACTTACTATGCCCAGACACTTTCTATATATCACTTCATATAATAATTTATGAGGTAGGTACTATTATTATCCCACTTTTTCAGATGAGGAAACTAAAGCACAGAAAATTTAAGCAACTTGCCCAAAGCCCCCAACTAGGAAATAGCAGTGCTCCAGAGCATGTGACCACTGTACCACACTGTGTATGTCCGTGATCAAGATGCAAGAAGATGAAGGTGGTAATGGCATGCATGGAAAGGAATAAAGATGAGAAGGTCTCAAGGTGAAAACAAAATAATTTGACAGAAAGCAAACTCCTAGGTTTCAAGTTGCTTCATTTCTCCATTCAGGGATATTGGTCCCATTGACAAGAGAAGTGGAAAAGAAAGCATAGGAAAAGACACAATGAGTTCGGCTAGGGTAGTTTCCAAACTTGCTGGATCGTAAGAATTACTCAGAAAGCATGTTAAAAATGCAGATTTCCAAGCCCCATCTCACAACTATTCAATCAGAATCTCCAGGGCAGGGCCTGGGAAGCTATTGTTTACTGAACACACCACGTGATTTTTATGATCAGATACATATGATAATCACTGAGTTAGGATACATGGAATTTTTTGCAAAATGCAGCATGCCAGTATAGAATGAATGCCTGGAAAAAGCTGGAGACCTGGCACCAGAAATGAGAAGGTAGGTCATAACTTTGACACCACAGGCACAGATCTGCAACTTAATGGTATAACGAGTGGATGAGCTCACTAAAGAAATTAATATTAAAAAAACAAGGGATCTGGGTCTACACCTTAGAAGGAGTCCACACTCAGCATGTAGGAAGAAAGAAAAAAAGCAAAGAAGTGACAGGAAAGTGACTAAAGAGGTCAGAGACCAAGAGAATAGGTGGCACCAAAGCTACAGGGTGAAGAGCCAGTAAAATCTATGTAATCAAGTGTTGGTGGCAGATGAAAAGAGAGCTGGGCAGAAAGGAAACATGTATATTTCCCTTACAAACTAAAGAGGGGGTAACTGAATTTGCAATCAAAGACCAAGCTTCTCAGTCTTGGCTGCTCACTGCAACAAATCACCTGGGGGAACTTTAAGAGCTGTGTGGAGCCTAACAATCAGAGCTCCTGTTTAACCTGATCTGGGTATGGCCTGACTCAGGACTTTTTAAAAGCTCCCAAGGGCAAAGCTTCTTAAAATGTGGGCCCTGGTCCAGAGAACTAGCATCACTTTGGAATTTGTTTGAAATCCTCAATCCTACCACAAACCTACTGGGGGTTCCCCCAGTCATTAGTGATCCTGGGATATGCTGAAGTTTTGAGAGTCTATGTCTGCAGTGATTTGAACTTGTGGCAAAGGCTGAGAATCACGGCCACAGAAAGGCTGCGGCTTACAGACATGTACAATGATAGGACTGATTCCTGAAAGGTGCTATTCCTGACATAAACCTATTGTCTTTAAGTGCTAATCATGAATCAATGTATTTAAGTTAGAAAAATACAGGAGAAAAACCATTACTACTGTAAAGTCTTTTATAATGTAATTACCCAAAGAAAAAGTGGCTCATCATTTCACCAGGCCCCAATTCAGGTGTAGCACTGTACTGAGTAAAATTTTAAGTCAACATTCAATTTGTAAACATACGCTACAGAAGTCTCCACTTCGTAATTTCAAAGAAAGAGGGACAACACAGTACAGTGGTTATACTGAAAGACAAGCTAGGCTCAAACCCCAGCTCTATTCTTTCCCTAGTTGTAAGACCTTAGACAAATTTCTTAAGCTGAGACCTAGTTCTTTTATTTATAAAATAGAGATAAATGCCCAACCTCACAGAATAGTAAACCCAAATACTCAGTTAACAGCTATTATTCGTAATTATAATTACTTAATAGATATTTATTGATCACCTACAATATGTGTAACACACAGTAAGCTAAATGGCACTAAAGCACAATATATTGCACAGAACATGGGTAAAAGTAAATGAGAAGTACAGATCATTATTTGGGGTGTTTATTACCGGCAATGGCCACTGAGAGCTGACTTATTTGGGAAGGCCTGGAAGAAAGCACCATCTTGGATAACATGTGAAAATGGAGAGGGGATGGAAGACAGACAAAGGGAGACAAAGATGGTGATGATCACAGTAAGCTCCTGAGATGAGGAGCAGACAGGCCATGCTAAATTAGAAGGACATCTGAAGGTAGATTTTATACTAGAATTAGATTCAATTATGGAAAGTCTTGAGTAATAGGCTTAGTTTAGAACAAAGGTTTTGGAGCGATGGAGGGTTCTATGAATAAAAAGGAACAATAAACAGAAATGGGAGGTCTAGGCGCTGTTCCCCGCTCTGCCACACATTGGTGGCATAACTTCAGCTATGCTTACATGAAAGTACCGATCTCCCTGGTACAGGCCAAATCTAAAATTCTAGGATTCTAACAACTTTAAATAGCACATTATCTAGTACCTGGGAATGTTCAATAAACATTTGCAGACTAATTTGTAGCCAGTAAGAAAATTAAAGTGAGAAAACTGAAAGACACTATCTGCTGTCATTGCTCCAAAGAGGAAGTTATGTACATACTTACTCTTAATCGAGGACATCTGGATTTGGCCAAAACTCCCAAAAATATGTCAGGGGCATTAAATTCTTGGAGAAATAAAGCCACATCCTAGAAATACAAATGATTATTAACTTGGATGTTGAATATTCCTCGTTAAACCCAGAGCTTAGGCAACCATAAAAAAACTTAATTCTATACATTCCTCCATTTAGGCACAAGGAGAAATGATTAGGATCTGTGTCAATAGACAAAAGCAATATTAGAAGGTCTATGTGGTACCTGGTCCCAAGGCAATGGAACAATTCCATAAACAAATCTAAACTAGTATCAGCATCAGAGGATTGACGGGTCAAGAACCTAAGTTTTGTTCGACAACCGAGACATTTTTTCCATGAACAACTTGGTTGAGAACCTGATTGTTCGAGATGGGAGACAGAGAACCAAGGTCTGACTGTTAACTGTGATGTTCCAAAGGGCTGTCCTCTTCTGTCTGCCTTGAATATATTGACATTAACGATCTTTCTAACCACCAGGAATTCTCATTAACTCACTCAAACACATTTCCTGATTACCAGTATCATGCTAGAAGCTGGAAATAAGGAAAAATAAAACTCTTAATTCCTGTCTTCTGAGAGCTTAAAACGTGATAAGGGAAACAGGTGAAAACTCCTATTGGGCCATGTCCCAAATCACAACTTGTGCTTTCAAAGTCCTCAACAGAAAAAAATTCTGGCCACAGTGTAACTGCAGCAGCTTCACACTTCCTTCCTAAAGTGTGACCAGTCCACAGAACCTAAAGGGACACACCACACAGATAAAGGAACCCGGAGTGGACATGTGACCGAATCTTGTTAGAATGTGGGCCCAAAACTAAATCAGTCTGCTGAAATTAGAGAAGACATAAGTAAATGGAAGGCTGTAACTTGTTCATGAATCAAGAGACTCATTATCATTAATTTATCAATTCTTCCCCTATCTGACCTATAAATTCAACTCAATTTCAGTTAGAATTCTAGCAGGCTTTTTGTAGAAACTGACAAGTTGATTCTAAAATTAATATAGAAATACAAAGGATCCATGACAACCAAAACAACTTTGACAAAGAACTAAGTTGAAGGAGTAATACTACCTGATTTCAAGATTATAGAGTTACAGTCATCAAACAGTTTGGGATTGGTGTAAAAATAAACAAATAGATCAATGGAACAGAAAAGAGTCCAAAAACACATTCACATGTCTATGTAACAACTAATTTTTAACAAAGGTGCAAAGGCGATACAGTGGAGAGAGGAGTCTTTTTAACAAGTAGATATCCATGTGCAAAAAAAGTGAACTTAATCCATACCCTGCATCATACTAAAAAATGAACTCAATATGGATCATAGATCTATAAGTAAAACCTAAAATTATAAAACTTTTAGAAAAAAACATAATACAATTCAAAAATGGGCAAAAGATTCAAACAGGTACTGAATCAAAAAAGATAACTGACTGCAAATAAGCACATGAAAATGCATTCAACATTATTAGTAATTAAGGAAATCCCAATTATGATTATAAAGAGAATCACCACACTTACTAGAATGACTAAAATTTAAAAGACTGACCATACCACAATAGTGAAGATGAGAAGAAAATGCTTATGTAATAATATAAAATGTAAAAAAAAATACTTTGGAAAGAAATTCGACCATTTCTTTAAAAGTTAAGCACATAGCTACCATATGCTCCAACCACATTACTCCTGGTATTCACCCAAGAGAAGAAAACACACGTCCATACATACTTACACAGAAGTTCGCAGCAGCTTTACCTGTAACAAACTGTAACTCAGTATCCATCAACAGGTGAGTTGATGAATAAATCATGGTACATACATGTAATGGAATACCACTAAGCAAAAATCATTTTTTTAAATATTTTATTTATTTATTTTTAGAGAGGGAAGGGAGGGAGATAGAGAGAGAGAGAGAAACATCAATGTGCGGTTGCTGGGGGTTATGGCCTGCAACCCAGGAATGTACCCTGGCTGGGAATCGAACTTGGGACACTTTGGTCCCCAGCCTGCGCTCAATCCACTGAGCTACGCCAGCCAGGGCTGCAAAAACCATTTTTTAAAAAACTCCTAAAATACATGAGCAACAAGGATGAACCCTAAAATAATGGTGCTGAATGAAAGAGCCAGACCCCTCCAAAATGAGAACATGATCCAACTTATATAAAACTCCCGAAAATGCAAACCATTCTGAAGTAACAAAAAGCTGCTCAGTGGCTGCCTGGAGGGGACAGAGGCAGGAAGCCGAAAGAGGGATTAAAAAGGGCAGAAAGAAACTTTTGGGTGACAGATATGCTATCTTGGCTGCGGTGGTGGTTTCACGTGTATATACACAGATCAAAAATTTTCAAATTGCACAGTTTAAAATGTGCAGTTTTTGTATATCAATTATGCTTCAAGTATATTTTGAGTATATTTTGTGTCAATTATAGCTTATTAAGGCTGTTTTTAAAAATGGCTGGAGGCAATGAATAGCTGTTAACAGTTTTTAAGAGAGAAGAAAACAATTAAGCGTGTTTTAGGAAAAAGATAACTTGGGTGGTGATGTTGAAGACAGAAGGGAAGTGAGAGAGACCAAAACAGGATTTTGACAAGGAATCTGCTGCAAAGTCCAAGTAATAAAATGAGAGCTTATGTGAGTCAATCTCTTGCTTCTCCTACCTGTAAAATAAGGGCACTACCTGTATCACAAGGTTATTGTGAAGAACAAATGGAATAATAAACATGAAAACGCCCTGGAGCTCTAGAGTACAACAGAAATGTTAAAATATTATTACTGTGATGACATACACGTAATTCCTTCTTGTCCCTTTCTTTTAATTTAACCATGGTGCATCACAGGTTTCCTGACTCCAACCCCACCCTACTCTCAAATCCGAGGCCAACGTTCCCTTCAGGCAGGTAAGTATCAGAACCTTCCTGGGTTACTAGAGTTCTGGCATTTGCACAAATCTAAAAGACAAAAGTAGAGCATTTACAGCTCCTGGGGCCTGCCCCTTACCACCTACAGGGATACAGAAAAAATCCATTCACAACCCCCTACCCAACAGCCTTTTCATTTCCATTTCCTGCCCCGTACCTCATCCATTGACATATCCCACACTCTGCAAATTTCATTCTCCATTTCTTCATCCAGCTCCATCTGCTGCTGCTCCTCATCGTCTAAGCTGGATGTGTTGTTTTCAGGACTAACAACCTTCAGAAACACAGAAGAAAAGAAAGGAACAAAAGCTGTCCTTTGTACTTACTCCTCATGTAATATTACCCCATAATCATGTAGAAGTCACAAAGATACTACCCTCAAAGTGTTTTCTCTTGCAAAAACTGTTTAAAAAATCAGTATCTTAGGTAAATCTACTCATCCAACATTCATAGGGTAAATACTGTTGCTAGGCATTGGGGCAGAAATACAATGAGTAAGACTTACATCCTTGCTTTCAAGCAGTTTATGGTGTGGTGGGGAAAAAGACTTGTAAACTGATAATCACACAGAAAAGGCTTGTGATCGTGAACAAAGAGTTATGAGGGCAAAAATGATGGACCAAAGACCTATGCCTGGGAGACGTTAGGGAAAACTTCTCTTAGGTGATGTAAGTTAATCTCTGAGGAAGAAGAGAAGACCATACGAAGGAAGTGCGGGAGTTCAGCATTAAGGGCCCCCAGCGTGCGTGGAGGTGGTGACACTAGTCATGGGCAGATGGGGTTGGATTCCACACTAAGAGATACGCATTTTTCTCCTGTAGGCAAAAGAACTATAATGAGTTCCCATGGATTTTTTTTGGTTTGTTTTGTTTTTTTTTAAAGGAAAATTATTCTGGCTGCTGTGTAGAGGTGGACGACTGGAGTGAAAAGAGACTGGAAGTATGTAAATCAGTTGGGAAACGTGTAGAAAAGCTCACACCTACGGACAGCTATAAGCCACACACCGTGGTAAGCACGCTACAGCCATTATCTTATTTATACTACACAATAACCCTATATACAACGACATAAATATTATCATCCTGTATAGAAATTGCGAAGGAAATCAAGGATCTGGGAGATTAGGTGATTTGCCCAAAGTCACGCGGCAAGTAGATGGTGAAGCCGCGACTTGGGTACCAGAGCATTATGACCCCAAAATCACCATTTTTTTCCTACTATAACAAAAGCCCACGAAATATAAGCTGGGACTCAAACTTCGGAAACGACCGTGGGAATGGGGAGCAAAAACCCGAGCAATGTATATTCATGGCCATGTATTTTTTCAGAAAATTTGCATAAGTAAAAATGTTTTAGCTGCAGGAGCTCCAGCGTTCCCGCCGATAGACCTCCTCCTGTGTTGAGAGGCTCCGGGAGAAGGGGCGGCAGTTCGGGGTCGGGGGAGCTGCCGGGCCGCGACGCTAGAGATCCCGCCGCACGCGCGCCCGGGTGGGGGGAGGGGCGGGGTCGCGGTGGAGACCGCGCGGCTCGGGCCCGGCGGGGCTGCCCGAGGCGGGGCCGGACACTGGGGGGAAAGTAAGGGGAGCCACGAGAGGCGCGAATTTCCACACCTGGATAAGCCCGCTGAGGACGCCGAAGAGCCAGTGCTTGCTGTACACCGTGCTCCCTATGCAGTCTCCCCCCACCACCTCCTCCTCGCCCTCGTCCCCATTCGTCGGCGAAGGAGGCGACGGGTTACGGTCCATGATTCGGCCGTTACAGGCGTGATGGAGCCGCGCCGGAAGCCGTGGGAGGAGACGAGAGGCCTTCTGGCGCCAGAGGGCCCGGCGCTGCTCTCGCCACAGCGCCCCCTGCTGCCCAGAGCCCTGCAGTCCTGAGTGCCCGCCCAATATTCACATCAGGTATAGGAGCCCAGATGACTCATCTCCGCCACGCCGCTCCACCAGGACCCAGGCATGGTCATATTCGTAATTGTTATTGGTCACCCCCACTGGACCATATATTTCATGGCCCATCCACTAAATGCCCCATAATTATGCCAACCCAAAAGGTCCCCAGAGATAGCCAAAAGCTGGAACGGGAATAGTGCAATGCTGTCCTTGTTAAGAAATATGGTCTAGATCTCTGTCCCCGGGACTGGCAAGTTTGGGGAGGAACTATGTTCATACCATTCTCTAAGAAAATGACTACTTACCTCTTTCTGAAGTTGTCTTGAAACAATGATGTAATCTCCTCTAAACTGCTGCTTGGTTTTTTCTTGGCCCTTTATTACCTACACCCCCCCATATACATTTACCCCTATAGACTTGTGAGGATTAACTGGGGTGGTACGTGGAATACATTCACTGAAAGAATGACAAAGTGAACTAATATATGCAAAAGTGTTTTATAAACTCTAAACTTCAATGCAAATGTGAGTTATAGCAAATGGTTAAGAATGATGGTTCTAACCATGGCCAGTGTGGCTCAGTTTGTTGGGTGTCCTCCCACAAAGCTAAAGGTCACTGGATCAATTCCTGGTCAGGTCACATGCTTCAGTCCTCGGTCAGGACGAGTACAAGAGGCAAACAACGAATATTTCTCCCTCACACTGATGTTCCTCTCCCTCTCTCCCTCCCTCCCCTCCCCCTCTCCAAAAACAAATAAATTAAAAAAATTTTTTTAAACAATGGTGGCTGTAGTGTCAAATTAGCAATGTGACTTGGATATATATTTTAACTGTTTGTGCCTCAAGTTTCCTCAGCCATAAAATGAGAGGATTCCATGGTATAATATAAGAAAACACTTAGAGAAATATCTGGCCCATAGGTGACTTGCTGAATATTAACTGTCACCATTAACATCCTACTACTACTAACTGGTGTGAATAGAGCTGAAAACCACAGGCAAAAGGACTAACATAGAGACCACTAACTGACAAGGATGGACACAAATTTTCCGGAAGACATGAGCAAAGGGCTGTGAAGGCATATTCTGTTAAAGATTTAGGGACTGACAGAAGGTACACTGAGGTCTCAACACTGAAAGACCTGCTCCTAGCAATCTAATCACAGGGGATGAAGACAAGCAGGTCTGACTCAGGCAAAAGTTGCTGCAGGGTATCTGACCTGTACGACACTCTGAGATTGTGTCACCTCCACCCAAACACACAGGCACAGGCCTCCACCCAAAATGAGTGGAGGCACACCACTCATGTGGGTGTCCATCCATCACCCCTTCGTACCAACAGAGTCCTTATAACAAAGAATAACACACACTTTTTAACACTGAGTATGTTAATCGTTTATTACACAATCATTAGGTGCCCTCAGTCAGCAAAAGGGGATGTAGACCTCAACCACGCTGTGTCCCTGCCCACAGGGACCTCACAGTCCTGATCCTGGGAGCACAGAGAAGGAGTCAGTACTTGTTGGGCAGGCCCTTGGGTCTGAAGTGATTGGGGTCTTGCCGCTCTGGCCCCTTCAGTTGGCTTTCTGAGTCCTCCTCTCCATGGCTGCTGTCTCCATACTTGAAGAGGTCTGTGACTCTCTGAGCCTGCTCTCTGACATCGCTGGAATGGAGGAGGGCAGGTAGGAGGTGAATCAAGGGCCAATGAGAAACAGCCCACCTCCCTACTCACCCCTTTCCAAGGGATCAGTGGCTGAGGGGAGCCAGGAAAGACCCTACCCAGGCGGCAATAGCCCTGGCTGACCCCAGCACAGGGTGGACAGCACTCACATGGGAGGGTGGGAATCACCCATTCCAGCTGCCTTGTTCTGGCTCCTTTAGCACCTCAGACTTCACAATGGGCCCAGAGGGACAGGGCAGTCAAGAGGAGGAGGGACCACATTCTTCATAGGAAACTCCTCCTGGCTTGGCCCTGCCTGGCTCCCCAAGGCCACCAAGCTCTGCTCACCATCCTGCATCCCCAGGAGCCCTGTTACCTGATCACTTTAGCAGCCCAAGCACCTCCAGGTCCCCTCTGAGCAGCTTCATAGTTCCCCCGGGCGTGGAAGTACTTATCTGCACCTATGTAATTGGCTTCTCTCATGTCGGAGTAGGCTCTCCACATGTATCCAGCCCCTAGGAAGGAAGGCACATGTGAGGTAGAGGTGATCACATCTGGGCAAATGAGGAATAAAACATTTTCTTCTATCGATTATATGATTTGAGCCTTTGACTAAGCCCTTGAAGATTAACTGCAATGAGATACATGTTTTTTTACCTTTTGTTCCTGGGTTAATGTTATGAGAATCACATGCGGTACACGTTTGATTCTGTTTGGCTCCATTCTAAGTTCTGTGGCTACTTTGTCTCTGGCTGTGTATGAGGCACGCAGAGAAGAGGTGAGATGGCCTTTAAGGATGTTCATTTGCACAAGGAACCTCCACCTGGGAGGATGTAGGGAACCCCTGACTGGGGGTGGGAACAAAGGGGATTCCGAGGGAGGCTCAGAAGCCCAGAGCTCCCAGCCAGTCAAGGGGAGACATTCACCCCACAGACGAGGACAGCACAGCCCATCCTGAGCACGTCTGCGTGTCTGGGCACATGTGGCACCTGGGCAGCTGCCAGAGCTCAATCCGCACACAGTCAGAGTGAGTTCCCTCACAGACTTTGTAGAAATGGGGTAATAGATGCAGAACAAGGGCAAGTGCCCCACCAGCTCTAAAGTTCAATGTCCTCCCCATAAAGTGGGGGAGTCTGGATCCCCTCAGACTGGTTGCACAGAAGCACTGAGAAAAGGCTCTGTAATGTCAAAAACATTGTAGGTGGACAATATGGTATTACTTTACTTCTCTGGACTTTAGGAAGAGGGGCAGCTAAAGGAAGTAAGAGAATCAAGATGAACAGGGAGTCATAGAATGAATTTGATCAAGCTACAATTGAATGGGAAAAAAATGTAATCACTTTTTAGACAAAGAGAAAACTCTAATGTAGAGTTAGAATCATGGTCTACATAATTAATTTCTCCATGAGATCACTGATCTTCATCTCACATGTCATTTTGTCATTAGAAAAGATAGTTTTGGTGAGAGGTATGACATTCCTGCTGTACTTACACACTCTGATTTAAATAGATCTCTGTGGCCTGGACTTGCATAACAAGAATTTCCAAAATGTCTGGTGTATTTTACCACCAAGGGGCAGCACGTCAAAGACAGTGCTTCTCAAACTTCAGTGAGCACACAACCAAGGGGGCGCTTAATAAAGGCGAGGTGTTGACGCTCAGCCCCAGACATTGTGATTCAGTGGACACACTTATCTGCCTTTCATAAAGCACCCCAGACCCCGTATGATTCTCGTGCAAGGGGTCCTAGAACAGCCTTTTGAAAAACACTGGCCTAAGAGATGAAAAGATATTTTTAGCCGGGTCTCAGAATTTAGATGGAATTAACTGCAAACTCTGAAGATAATTACTCAGAGACAATAACAGAAAAAAATGCAAAATAATTCTGTGAATAAACAAAATTGTATTTCTTCACTATGGCTGGTGAGGTATATTTCTCTCTCCATTGGTTTCCGGGCCAGGTCACAGCCCCAGCAGGAACATCAGCAGGTAGTTCATCGTGGTTTTCGTCACAGGGAGGGGAGCTCTGTAGATTTGCCTGTCAAAGGCACCACCTCCCCACCATGAGCAGTTTGCTCAGTTAAAGAACAGAATAAGTGTTCGCAAATCCCTCACTCTTCCACGTGAGCCTTGTCTGGGAGGCCATCTGGTACCGTGGTTAATGCCGAGGCCCGGATCTCAATGACCCAGATTAAGTCCTGCCCTACCTGCTGACTTTGTGAGGCCTCTCGCTCTCTTTGAGCCTCTATTTCTCTGTTAAGAGATAATGGCACCTACATTGCAGGACTGACAAATTAAAACAAGAGGAGGAAAATGAGCTTATTGTACACAAAAAACACTTAGAATGATGCCTACATGTATTAAAAGCTCCGTTAATATTTGTTGTATTAACGTTGGGGAATGTAAAATACTCCCCACACCTTTGACACACCCATTTCATGGCTGAGACCAAGAAATGAACTGTCTCTGATTGCCATTAGGGGGCAGTAGAGCACGATTTATATTCGGAGAGTCACCTCTGAACTCCCCATCTCTTCATCACTCCTGCTGCAAGTTGGGGCACAAACGTTCAGTGCCCTCCAGCTCCAGGATCCCCACAAAACAGTACACAGCTGGCCAGAAAATCCTAGGGAACACCTACCATGAAAGCACTGTTCTCTTTCTTCCTAGTGAGAACGTGGCCTCTGCTCAGGTGAAACCTGGGTGCAGGTCTGATGCACCCTCCTGACAACCCATGCTGCGTCCTTACCTTGAGCAGCTTCCCTGAGGAACGTTCCCCACCCTTCGGTGCTGACACCCAGCACCAGGGAGCAGAAAATGATGACGGTGGAAAGCTTCATCCTGAGGAGAGAGTCAGGCAGACACAAGCAGCATGAGAGAGTTGTGTCTCTTTTTTGGTGATGCTGACCTATCCTAGCATTCCAAATGTAAATTCCACTCAATTTTATATTTCTATGTCAATATCTTTGTCTGTCTATCCACCCATGCAGATGGATGGATTGTATTTCAGAGAATCCAGGTCTACATTTTCACCTGACTCATTAGAACCACAGTGATTTCCCTTACAGGAGAGTGCAACCTATATGCCAGTGACTTTCAACAGACGTGCTGCAAGAATTTTTAAAACATGTACTACCTGACTATTTAGTCAGGGGCACTGACCTGTTTCCCTTAAAATTTAAAACTTAGAAAAAAAATGACAAAAACCAACACAACAATAGCCA